GAACATGGCTAATTAATGTACTTCTCTAAAGCATTGTTGTTGTATCATTTTACTTACAATATTTTCTGAGATGGGAATTGATTTTATTTATGCAGATCTTCCACTCTCTGCTCCTGTCCTCCGTGGGATATAGTGAAAACACCTTGTTTTCAATATACGCCAGAGCGTCTGCATTTACGCATCGTCTCCCCTTTCCGCCATTCACAGTGCAATTTGAAAGTTCTTCTTTGCAAGAGTACATCAGCCTTAGGAGCTTCACAGCGAAAGCAGATTTGTTATTTGGAAGCTTTAGGCGTACTGCTTCGATTGCCTCATCACTTGGTATAGAGGATGGTGGAGGATGGTTGAAGTTCAACGTTGGCAGAGTCAGATGGGGAAGATGGAAAGCTCCGGAGAGTGGCGGAAGACCAAAGAGTGACGTGTTCACAAAATGGATCATCTGATCTTGCACATCTCTCGTGGGTTGTTGCGTTGGCTGGAGTAATTGTAGCTGCAGATGTACCTGTAATGGTTGCACTGGAATTTCTTGTATAGGATAAACATATTTTTTTGTTCAAATACTTATTTTAACGTTTAAGTATTTTCTCAATGCTTCAAGAGTATAGTGCAGAATAGAAAGGTGTTTGTATACACGTAAGCACGTTGTAGCCGACAGCATTTTATGCTTTTGCCATTTAGGCCCTTCTCTGTGAAATTTATCAATTCTACCAATTCGGTTATGCATTTGCGGGACGTGAATTCTAGTCAGTATCAATAGTGTGGTTTGCAATTGTTGGCAGTATCTGTCACTGAGTTTTTTGACTTATTATCAATTTAGATTGTATGCCAATTTTTGTCGTGGCATTTAGGCAAGTGATTTTTCTCAAACTTAAACTATAAACTCCCACCTAGCCTGAGTATCGGGCTCTCTCAAAAGGGTTTGGAGCGGAGCGAAACGCTCTCTCCTGTTTCGCTTCGCCCCAATCCCCTTCGAGAGAGCCTGATACTCATGCTAACTCCCACCAGATTTCCTCTAGATAGTTTTTTCTGGCCTCCCTGGCACATCTCAGTTCTTTATTCATGAATAGTTTTGATTTCGAGTTTTTCCAGTTACTAGTATACAATATTTACTTATATAATAATATTCTCAATGCATTACAGCCTTTTGCAAAAATTATGAGAATTGTTGAAATATCTAAATATCATAATATCGAGTGCATGGTGGGTAATCTCGCGCGATGCCCTTAGTCCCCTTGTCTTTGTAGTTTAGTTTTTTTTTGGCGACACACTTATCCGTAGTTCTGAACATTTTCTCGATGTCAACAATGAATTATTCTAGCAAACCCGCGTGTTCCGGACAATATATGGATATGGATATTATGATATTTAGATATTTAGACAATTCTCATAATTTTTGCAAAAGGCTGTATGTGTGTGTATTGTATATATTCCGAGTATAGTGCAGAACAGCCATTTCGGAGTTATGAAATGAATTATAATTTCTGTCATATTGAGCCAATCAAAAAACTAACCATATCACTAAAAAGACTAGGTTACAAGTTACAGATCATTTGGACAAATATTCAATTAATGAGAAGCCGTTCAATTTACAGAGAATGTATGGGGATTTTGACCACGTCCCACAAAACAATACATTCTCTGTTAATTTGATGAAACTAGGAATAAATACTGTTCAGCTAGTTTTTATCCAAACGTTTTGAAACTTGGTATATTTACTAATKKTTKGGTGTCCTTTCATGGGGTGGGGTTTGTTTCGTGATTAGATCAATATTTCTTTGATTAGTGCCCAGTCCCCTGCGCAACTCCGAAATGGCTAATTGCTGCGGCGATGAGAATAAAGACTCATAAACTCGTTCCCTCGCGTTTTGTGTGGTTGTTTTAGATTTAGATGTATGTTGTTTTTGCATGCAGCCGCGAAAATAAATAAAGATTCTTAAACGCGTTTTCTTAATTTGATTACAAAATAGTGACTAATTGTTAAAAACTATTCAGTTTTTGTTTCACGGATTAAATAAAATTGCTCTAATGTTTATTCTGTAACAAGAATTTTGTACCTTCTAAT